ATTCTGCATTGCAAGGCCCAAAGTGACTAGAATTATGAGTTTTTAAAATGAGTTCATTAGAAGAGCACCTTTGGTAACAGGAAGTGGGCGGAGACTCTCTGAAGAGCACTCTTAGGCTAGGGACGGACCGTCGTGGAAGTGGAAAGACCTTTCTTTTTATCAACTTCATTTGTCTTCCAAGTATGGAGAATTCTAGAGGCAAGGAGAGAACCGCCACGGGATGGTCGAGGGAAGAACAGTGGGCATTAACTCAACCAAGCACATCTTTACCAAGAACATCAGAAAAGGAGGGGAGCAAACGAAAAAGATCTATGAAAGATGATAAAGTTGCTTGTCCTAAGGAAAGGGGACAGTGTGATGGCAACCCAAAACCTCAGAAGAAGGTACCAATTCCTCCATTACCTGTAGATCTGCCACCCATCGACCTGGTTCACAGAGACATTTTGCGGGCCTGGGGTCAAAAGCTGAGGTTAAGCACGAAAGGCCCGAAAATAGATCTGTATAAGCGACTATGTGAATATGCTTACCCACACCAGAAGCCTTGTTTACGGACTATTCCTAACACAGCAAAGGAGGTCAAGATCAAAACATCCTTACAAATAAAATCAAAGGTGGGCAAAGAGGAAACATCCCAGGAAAGTGCTAAGAAAACAGTGTGTTCCGCGGGGACCGACCCCCCTGAAGTGGCTCCTCCACTCCAGGAGGGCGGACCTGTGCTCCTGGAGGACGTGAATACAGTTGAGGTGACAACTTCTGCCCCAGAGGCTGTACTGGCCTCTTGGGCCAGAATTGTCGCTGGTGCTGGGAAGAGGAAGGCAGTGGAAACACGCCCAGAGGCCTCCGGTGACAGATGGTGTGTGGTTCATGGGAAAAGTCTCCCTGCAAACACACGTGGTTGGGTTCAGCTGCAGCTTCATGCAGGACAAGCCTGGGTTCCTGAGAAGAAAAAAGGAAGAGTGAGTGCACTCTTCTTGCTTCCTGCAAGTAATTCCCCACCCCCATACCTGGAGGACAATATGCTGTGCCCCGAGTGTGTCCACAGGAATAAAATCTTATCAAAAAGCCTTCAATGAGACTAGAATATCAGGATTTAAAGGACATTTACAGCTTCTGCTTCCTTTTTTGACATCATCTAAGGTCTTGAGGAGTAGGGAGCCTGCGGAACCGTAGCCATGACTGATGTTGATGTAAATTCAAGGCCCATCCCCTCACAGACCTACCTCATCAAGAACTACTGGTCACGTCACTACAAGCAACTTTGCAAAGGTACCTCTTGGGCCACCAACACCCTCAACAGGGGCAGCTCTGAGTCCATTGTGATGGTTGTGAGCATCAAGCACCCGGAGATCATCTTGCACTTGCTGCTATCATGGGAAGACAAGACTGTGTCCGTTTGTGTTTGTGTACTCCACACAGGCCTGTGGGGTCTCCCATCTTGTGGTTCTTTTCTCTGTCACCAGCAAAGGAGGTTCATAGCTGAAGCAGTGGTTTCCTGTCCATTCAGCAAATAGTCCACGAGAGCATACAGGCTCTCGAGCTCAACCTGTTGCCTCTTCCGTAATTCTGCCTACTGAGATCGTGCGTCATATGGTCTGGGTTAGCATGCAGCATTACTCACCTGCTTTCCGTTAGAGAACTAAATCCAGCTTGTAGATTCTGTTTTGTTTCACAGGATTGTGTATCCCCTTCAGCCCTGTCACCCTCTCTTTCTGTGAGAAATAGTGCCTAGAACAGACAGGGGCCAAGTGGTGACATCACGCAAAGGCAGGAAGAGCCGAAAGAACCGAGTCAGGATCAGGCAGAGATCTCTTTCTAGCTTTCACCTGCCAACTTCCTACTATGTGTCAGGTATGATGACAGTAAGCAATGGCCACTGTGTGTCCTGGCATTCAGAATTATTTCATACATGTTAACATGACTAACGAGTTTCCTTTGCTCTCTGAGGGATTATGCAGCATTCGGGGAGAAAGCTCGTGTTCTGCTACGTTGTCTGGTTATACCCACGGTCATTTACTAATGTTCCCTGCTGCTTGATTCTGCTAATGTGATGTGTTCTTTCTCCAGACCCCTCTCCTCCTCTCCCTCCTGTGCTCCCAGAATACTTTCAGAAGGAAGAGAGACAAATAATTAAATCTATTTTTTAAAAAGGATTTATTTATTGTTTGGGTCCCGCACTGTGGCATAGCTGGTAAAGCTACTATCTACAGCACCAGCGTCGCATATGGGCGCTGGTTCGAGTCCTGGCTGCTCCACTTCTGATCCAGCTCCCTGACAATGAACCTGGGAAAACAGTGGATGATGATGGCTCAAGCACTTGGGCTCCTGCATCCATGTAGGAGACCCAGAAGAAACTCCTGGTTCCTGGCTTCAGGATGCCACAGCTCTGGCTGTTTTGGCCATCTGGAAAGTGAGCCAGAGGATGGAAGGTCTCTCCCCGCAGTCCTCCTCTCCCCGTAACTCTGCCTTCAAATAAATAAATAAAACCAGAAATTAGGAGCTTCTGTGGGTCTCATGGTTGCAGCGGCTCAGGCGCTTGGGCTACCTTCTGCTGCTTTTCCAGGCCATTAGCAGGGAGGTGGGTCAGGAGTGAAGCATCCGGGACTCTAGCCAGTGCCTATATGGGATGCTGGCGTCACATGCAGCAGCTTCACCTGCTATGCTACAATGCCCACCCCCAAATAACTGGATTCGATTACTTTTGCCCCAGATGAATTCCATGGCAGAGGGAGGATAGGGTACGATGATTGAGCTGCTGTGGGGGAGCCCAGAGAAGATCTGCATTCATTCTCCATCTGAATGCTAAAGTCACAACCATGCAGATAGGTCTGGGCCCACAGCTATGTGTGGTGTGAACAACATGTGAAATACAATAGGAACAATAGAAATCTGGAGCCAGAACTTCAAATTTTCCTTGGCTCCAGAAAGGAATGGAAGACTCCATGAGCAGATTCTTTTTTTTCTTTTCTTTTCTTTTTTTTTGACAGGCAGAGTGGATAGTGAGAGAGAGAGACAGAGAGAAAGGTCTTCCTTTGCCGTTGGTTCAACCTCCAATGGCCGTCATGGCTGGTGCACTGCGGCCGGCGCACCGCGCTGATCTGAAGCCAGGAGCCAGGAGCCAGGTGCTTTTCCTGGTCTCCCATGGGGTGCAGGGCCCAAGCACCTGGGCCATCCTCCACTGCACTCCCTGGCCACAGCAGAGAGCTGGCCTGGAAGAGGGGCAACCGGGACAGAATCCGGCGCCCCGACCAGGACTAGAACCCGGTGTGCCGGCACCACTAGGTGGAGGATTAGCCTAGTGAGCCGCGGCGCCGGCTCATGAGCAGATTCTAAAGTAACTGAGCTGAAGACAGGTTTAGCAAGATATCATTGGTAGAGGCAAATGGGTCTGTAAAAAAGAAAAACAGTGAACTTGACAGGAATCAAAGGTGGATGTGACACATCTCCTGAGGAGGGATAAACGGACATTTTTAAATTCCAATTTATTACAGTGGAGTTAATTTACCAAAAAATGTTCCATATAAATTTCTGTATGTTGACAAGTTAGAGCTTACAGATAAAAGTTGAAATTTGGCATCTTAATTATGTATACCTAGTACCAGAAGGAACGGTAAACACTGAAATGTGTTTGGTATGATGCAACGGGAAATCAAACGTCACTGGGCATGTGAGTCTAATCACAGGGAAGCAATAGGTCCTGATGACACTAATTGTCTCTCTACAGTCATTAAGTAACCTGAATACTCAGATGTATTCTTTTCCCCATTTCTAATAAGCATATCTTTACAAAATAAATTATGCTTCACCATTAAGACAATTTGTCTACTCCTAATATACTCCCATTATGAAGTGAGCCTTGTTTGGGTAGTAGTTTCTTGAGCATATCTATATGTAAAAATCACAGAGCTATGCACTTAAGATGTGTGTATCTTTTAAAGAAGTGGAGCAAGCCAGATCTCAAACCAGAGCCCATTTGGTATGCCAGTACTGCAGGTGGCAGGTTTACCCACTGTGCCACAGCACTGGCCCCTTAGAATCTTCAAACCTAAATGTTGTTACACATGTGTTTATTTTGTATCTAATTAGCCAGTTTTTTGGTAATATTTTTAATATATACATAGTTCTATTATCATCTAATTATCATAATCAAGAACTTTGTAAAACATTAATTTGAGGGGGGCCGGTTCTGTGGCACAGCAGGTTAAAGCCCTGGCCTGAAGCACCGCATCTCATATGAGCACCAGTTCGAGTCCCAGCTGCTCCACTTCTGATCCAGCTCTCTGCTATGGCCTGGGAAAGCACTAGAAGATGGCCCAAGTCCTTGGGCCCCTGCACCTGCGTGAGAGACCTGGAAGAAGCTCCTGGCTCCAGGCTTTGGATCGTCGCAGCTCCAGCTGTTGCGGCCATCTGGGGAGTGAACCAGCGGATGGAAGACCTCTCTCTCTCTCTCTCTCTACCTATTTCTGTAACTCTGTCTTTCAAATAAATAAAATAAATCTTAATAAAAAAATGAGTTCATTAATATACAAATACAATTTCTCTCTCAATTAAAATAACCATTTCTTGGGCTACCAAGCCCACTGTTAATAGAGATTAGAAACATGTTTTTTTCTTCTTTTTTGATTTATTTATTTGAGAGGCAGAGTTACAGACAGAAAGAGAGAGAGACAGAGAGAGGCCTTCCATCCACTGGTTCATTCCCCAAATGGCTGCAACGGCTGGAGCTGCGCTGATCCGAAGCCAGGAGCCAGGAGCTTCTTTCAGGTCTCCCACGTGGGTGCAGGGGCCTGAGGACTTGGGCCATCTTCCACTGCTTTCCCAGACCACAGCAGAGAGCTGGGTGAGAGTGGAGCAGCCAGGACATGCACCGGCACCCATATGGGATGCTGGCACCATGGGCAGAAGCTTAGCCTACTATGCCACAGCACCGGCCCAAAACGTGTTTTTCTTAACCTTTCAAGTCATTTGCCCAGCAACAAAGTTTTTTTTTTTTTTTTTTTTTTTTTTTTATCACAATAGTTTCCTGTGTTTCATTTTATCTGGTATTTGATTACCTAAAAAACCAGGTCCTATTAAAAGAGTCAACAGTTTTCCACAACTGTGCAACTTCCTGCGTTTACCTTTGAGGTTCAAAAGCACCACTCTTGTTAAAGGAGTAACTTGTTGCACAAGAACCTGCAACCTTGTTTCCATTCAGTGTTCAAGCCTTTCCGACAGTTTTCTAAAATGAAGTCTTCTATTTATTTTTAAGTTTTGAGGTCACTTTAGGATTTCCCAGAGGGCTCCTTGAAAGATTTGTTTCTCACCTCGTCGGTGCCAGCATTAACCCATTAATGGGTTAAATCGCCTCCTGTAGAGCTACCTCTTGCAAGGCTGGCACCCCACAGGGGCACTGGTTCGATTCCCAGCTGCTCCATTTCGGACCAAGCTCCCTGTTAATTTGCCTAGGAAGGCAGCAGTAGCTGGTCCAAGTGCTTGTGTCCCTGCACCCACATGGGAGACTTGGAATAAGCTCCTGGCTTCTCACTTTGGCCAGGCCCAGCTATGGCCATTGAGGCCATTAAGGGGGTGAACCAGCAGATGGAAGATACCTTTCTATGTCTCCCTCTCTCTCCTTGTGACTCTGCCTTTCAAATAAATAAAATGAATATTTAAAAAGGGGGGCCTGGCGCTGTGGCTCACTTGGTCAATCCTCCGCCTGTGGCGCCAGCATCCCATATGGGCACCGGGTTCTAGTCTCGGTTGCTCCTCTTCCAGCCCAGCTCTCTGCTGTGGCATGGGAAGGCAGTGGAGGATGGCCCAGGTGCTTGGGCCCTGCACCCCATGGGAGACCAGGAAGAAGCACCTGGCTCCTGGCTTCAGATTGGCGTAGCTCCAGCTGTAGTGGCCATTTTGGGAGTGAACCAATGGAAGGAAGACCTTTCTATCTGTTTCTCTCTCACTGTTTAACTGTCAAATAAAAAAAGAGAAAAAAAGAAGAGCGATGTTATGACAATCAGGCTCACTTGAAATGTTTGGGACACTCTCAAGCAGGAAGTGACCATAAGCCCTCTTAGGATGTGTGTGTGTCAGTGTGAGTGTGTGTGTGTGTGTGTATGATACATAATCACACATATAATTATGTACATATAATGTATATAACAATGTATATGCACCTATATTATTACCATATAGATTATATTGCTGTATATCACACATACTATATGTAATTAATGTAAGTGCTAGATCAATGAGGCCGGCCGGTGCGGCTGGGGTCTGCGGGCCCCTCACACAGGTAGAATGTCTTTCACAAGCAGGCTGTCAGCTGTGGCCGGAAAGCTGTCTCCAGACCGACTGGCATCTCCCCCACTAATAGCTTCTTTTTTTTCTTTTTCTTTTGAAATTTATTTCTTTAAGTCACAGACAACTTTAAAAGCAACTCATTTATACTAAGGATACATGCATGAGCAAAAAAAATAAGCATGAGAATACAAAAGTGAACACAGTAAACTTTCAATTACTACAGCATTCTGGATACAAGTAGAATACCACTAGATAAGAACTGAATTTCCTTCTGAGGTCTGTGGTGACATGGGCTGAGATAAGCCAAGGGCCAGGATAGGACGGCCACCTCGCTGTTCACATTTACAAGGGCCAGGACAGGACGGCCACCTCGCTGTTCACATTTACAAGGGCTAGGACAGGACGGCCACCTCGCCGTTCACATTTACAAGGGCTAGGACAGGACGGCCACCTCACTGTTCACATTTACAAGGGCCAGGACAGGACGGCCACCTCGCCGTTCACATTTACAAGGGCTAGGACAGGACGGCCACCTCACTGTTCACATTTACAAGGGCCAGGATAGGACGGCCACCTCACTGTTCACATTTACAAGGGCCAGGATAGGACGGCCACCTCGCTGTTCACATTTACAAGGGCCAGGACAGGACGGCCACCTCGCTGTTCACATTTACAAGGGCTAGGACAGGACGGCCACCTCGCTGTTCACATTTACAAGGGCTAGGACAGGACGGCCACCTCGCCGTTCACATTTACAAGGGCTAGGACAGGACGGCCACCTCGCCGTTCACATTTACAAGGGCTAGGACAGGACGGCCACCTCGCCGTTCACATTTACAAGGGCTAGGACAGGACGGCCACCTCGCTGTTCACATTTACAAGGGCCAGGATAGGACGGCCACCTCACTGTTCACATTTACAAGGGCCAGGATAGGACGGCCACCTCACTGTTCACATTTACAAGGGCCAGGATAGGACGGCCACCTCGCTGTTCACATTTACAAGGGCTAGGACAGGACGGCCACCTCGCTGTTCACATTTACAAGGGCTAGGACAGGACGGCCACCTCGCTGTTCACATTTACAAGGGCCAGGATAGGACGGCCACCTCACTGTTCACATTTACAAGGGCCAGGACAGGACGGCCACCTCGCCGTTCACATTTACAAGGGCCAGGACAGGACGGCCACCTCGCCGTTCACATTTACAAGGGCTAGGACAGGACGGCCACCTCGCCGTTCACATTTACAAGGGCTAGGACAGGACGGCCACCTCGCCGTTCACATTTACAAGGGCTAGGACAGGACGGCCACCTCGCCGTTCACATTTACAAGGGCTAGGACAGGACGGCCACCTCGCCGTTCACATTTACAAGGGCTAGGACAGGACGGCCACCTCGCTGTTCACATTTACGCAGTGCTGATCAGAAGCCGAAGAATTTCCTCAAGACTGAGACTTGCAATGAAATCACTGAACTAATCTCTCTTGTAAACGAATCAAATTAACATGTTTGAAGGTGATCCTGTTCCCATTTAAAGGTAGTTGGGCCAAGACAACCCATGGAGAGCCCTTATAAAGACTAAGCACCAAATGAGGAATTGTTTGTGGCTTTTGTTTTAGACCACCTTACATTTTATTTTGCTTATATGTGTTTTCCATTAATGTTCACACACAAATTTTTTCAGGCAAAATAAAACTTTTCAGCTTGCAGATCTTGCCAACTGTACACATAATAGTATACAATACTATAATTGTATGTATTATATACAATTGTATATTATAATTGTATAATACTCCATAATAATCCCAAGCTGATACTTAATTAGTTACATTGTAATACGCAGAAGTGTTTCTTTATAGCTTTCTGGTCCCAGAAATTTCAGTAGGGCCAAATGCATTAACTGGAAATAGCATTTGTTTTATTAAAAACAAAACATGAAATAAATCTTAATCAAAGATGATAATGGATAAAATTTAGGCTCTCATACACAATTTTTCTACATTTTCACCCCATGCAAAATGATTACAATGTCCTTCAAGCTTGCTACATGCCCATAAAATAAAAAAGAAACCAACAAGAAATTTAACATTTCAACCAGCTAGGAACTATTTCCTGCAAGCATACATGAGCTTCTGGAAGACATACTACCAAACTTGGAGAAAACACTATTGACAGGTAAGCCTGTACTGAAGGCAGTTTATAAATCAAACATCACAAGCGTATGCTTCTGTGTATGACTTACAGAACAGAGAAAAGGCTGCTACTTCCCCAATAGAACTGCATCACCCCAGCGGTACATGGCGAAGACCGGAGCTCTGCACCCACGCTCACGCCAGCTCCTGAGCAGCGCGTGCCCCAGACGCTCTCGCTTCTCTTTAACAGGTGCCAACCAGCTGCACGGGCTTGCGTCAGTTTGAGCAGGCCAAAACAATCATTCTGCCCTTACTCAAGGACGAGACAACGCTACCAGTTTTACGGAACAAGTCTCATATCAGTAAAAAACATTAATATTAACCCCCACAAGATGTTAAACGCTTCTAAGGACATGATATAATCTTAACAGGAAAATGGACTATGCCCCTAGATATAGTGAATGTGGCGATATTCAGGAGCCTGGGAAAACGCATTAAGATATGTAAGACCTAAACGATCACATCAGTAATAACTATTAAAACTCAATGCAAACTATGGATGTTTCTCTGATGCACCAGCACCCAGTTTACTGCTCAGGACTACGAAAAGCTGTTCTGCCTCTACACGTTGTGGTCAGTGCATATACCAAAATAATAGGGGGCAGTCTGGATCCTGAAATTTCAAAGAATTAGAATGATTGTATAGCTAATCTTATTTTTGTATTCTGAAAATAGTGCTATAAAACTCAATTATTTCCCTAGCTGCTTAGATCGTCTACCACCTTAGACAATTAAACATGGTTGCCTGCCAATTCCTTTCTAGAGGAAGTAAAAGCAAAACGCATTTGGTTAAACTTTGCCGCTGGTCTCCCCATGCGTGTGCCGCACCAGTGAGAGCACTCCTGGGGCATTCCCTGTGCTACTTTAACAGAACCACACCCGAAAGAACCCGGTACAGTTCAAATTCTGACAAACGATTTCGGCAGACCCACTTTTTTAAAAGTGGCAGGCTTACTTTTTTAAATGAAAACAAATCAAAATCTAAAATCATATGGCCACTTTGACAACCTGAATTAGAAACTTAAGTCTGGGCCGGTGCCGTGGCTCACTAGGCTAATCCTCCGCCTGCGGCTCTGGCACCCGGGGTTCTAGTCCCGGTCAGGGCGCCGGATTCTGTCCTGGTTGCCCCTCTTCCAGGCCAGCTCTCTGCTGTGGCCAGGGAGTGCAGTGGAGGATGGCCCAGGTGCTTGGGCCCTGCACCTACATGGGAGTGCAGACTAGAACTGGAGTCCATATAGGACACCAGTGCTTCAGGCCAGGGCTTTAACCCACTGCACCACAGCGCCAGCCCCCAGCCATCACATTTTTTTAAAATATAATTTAGGTTTCTGATGAATATTTAGCTGGGCTAAGCTACTCTGATAATCTCACAACTCAGACAGAGATCATTTCCGGAATGTGGTTGACCTTTAACAGAACTGACTTACGTCCTTACCCAAACAGCTATGCAAGGATACCGCCAGACTGCACTACAAAATCTTATCAGAACTTCTAGGTAATTCTTTACCAGCCATGCTTAAAAACCTTGCACCACCAGAGACAAAACAGGCAAAAATGGATGTAAACTTGTTTCTAATCTACCTACCTAAATAAACCCTTAGAAAATAATTTCCATATGATCTGATTGATCATCGAGAAAGCAGTAATTCTCTGCAAAAAGACACTTGACCATAAATTATCTACCTCATTAAATTAAAATGCCAAAGTCTGTTAAAACTAACACATAAAGGAAAGCTTGCAAATTCAAGATGATGCTCAAAATGAAAATTATGGTTCAAAAATGTGTTCATAGTGAGAGCCTGAAATCTTGTCACTGCAAAATTCCCCATGGCTTTTGGCACGGACATTAGAACAAAGATTGTGGTCTTTTGGTCACTTGAAGCTGCTACTAAATACGTTAAGCATTTAAAAGGGAGTAAAAAGACAGTGGGAACGGGAGGCTACTTACCTAAGGTAACCCCTCATGCACAAACACAATATAGCTAAGACAGAATGATCCTGCTAGGGAGCTGAAGATGAAGAAGTCCCCATCACCCCTTCCTTCCCGAAGGGGAGCCCCCACTCGGAAGTAATTCCTGGAAGTGACTGAGTGGCGTTGCTGGCAGCAGCTTCAATTCCTCCAGTCTCCAACCCAAGGAAGTAGGTAATCGCACAGGAGTGATCACGTACGGCAGCCGGGTCCGACAGCAGGGCCGCTCTTCCACAAACGTTTCAGGAGAAAAGCCATCCATTTTAGAGATAACCATAGGGTTTCAGGACCCTAGCACACGCTAAAACTAAGTTTCACTTTATACCATCAGTGACTAAAATTAACAAGTTTTGCAGTGAGTTTTTCTTTTTTTGCCTGCAACTATATACATATTGCAAGACTACGCTGCATCACATGATTTTAAATGAAATAAGTATAAAAATGGGTCACTAATGGCTGACTTGCGAATGATTCGGAACCACACCGCAAGTGCAGAAGAGCTGTCCTCCGGACTCGCGACCCCATCGGGGAGCCACATACAAAGCAGTCCTAGGGGGTGCTGTTACTACAAATCTTTCCATTTTTGCTTTGAATTCGGTTCGGATTAGCTCCAGTTTTCTTCGTCTTGATACTCAGCAGGGAATGTTCTCCAGCACAAAGCCAGAGACGCATCAAATCCTGGCACTTTCCGTTTGTTCCAACGCGGAGACACCTTCAGGTCAGTTTTTCAACCAGAGGTGGTGGGGCAATCGTTTCTGGGTTTGTACCCCGTTTCCCCTGAGCTGCCAGGAAGTCATGCCTTTACGTAGGATTGGGACCGCTGTTGGGGGAAGCGGACGAGATCTGGCCGGAAAGGAAAGGAGAAAGGCAAAGGGGGCAAGAGGCTGCAGGAGGAGGAAGCCCCACCGTGGCTGCCGCTGCCGCCATTGCCTGACTGAGCCCCGTGACGGCTGCTGTGTCCACTGACAGCTTCCTGCACCGCACGTGTGACCTTGTGGCCTTAAACCACACCTTCAGGGCTGGCAGGGGAGGGCTGAGCCCCTGGGCAGACTCAGACTGGCTCCAGGAGCTCCAGGCTATCTTGTGTGACCTTACGGCTTTAAATCACCTCCAGGGGGCTGCCATCTTCCACCCAGAGCTGGCAGAGGAGGGGGCTGAGCCCCTAGGGAGATGGACAGTCCCCAGGAGGCGCCCCCATCTCCTTGAGCCCCAAGTGAATCAACACACATGTGTGGAACCCTCAGGATAACCCAACGAACAAACAGTAATGCCTGAAAAACCCGGGGCCCTTCCTCGGAGCCAGTGTCCCGCCTGGGCGCTCCGCCTGCTCTCCTCTCGGACCAGACGCCTTCTCTGTCGCCTGCCGACCAAATACAAGTTTCTATTCTTGGCAAATTGCTTCCCAGCTTCTTGTCTTTATACTAAGTTGAGAAAAGGAGCCCACGAGACTCTCCGGCAACCACTCTCCGCTCTGCGACCGGTAACAATAAAGTTATAAAATCCCTGGAAATTGCTCAGGCCCTTACTTTCTGTGCACACTTGATCTTAGCCAAAAGGCCGCGAAGCGATTCTGTGTAATCAGTCGTCATTCTGGTTACAATACTGCACGTCGTTGAATAACCCAGTTTCTGAGGCACTGTCAGGAGGTCTTCAGGCACGGCTGGCCTGGGGTCTTTGTCACTTGCCGACATGACCACTCGGAAGCTTTCTGGGAGCTTACGGTCAGCTCTCGGCACCGGATGGCCTTGGACCAGAACTCAGCACAGGAGACGGACTTCCGGTCACGACACTGACGTGGGCAGAGACTCAGAGCTGCCACACCACCGCTCCCCAAGCCGAGCTGAGCCACGCCACGCCACGCCACGCCACGCCACGCCACACGGGCGGAAGTCCCGTGGACGAGCACATTGTCACGACTGCTTAGGACATCCCCGCCACACTCAGGTTTCGCTCTCCGGATTCACGGGAATTCTCCTCGTCAGCTATGCAGGCTTCCACAGCGATGTGGCGCATCACACCTGGGCTCGCGGACTTGCGCCATCTCTCTTCTTCCCTGCCCCGTGGCTCCAGCACGCAGAAACCTTAGCGAGTGCTCTTCTTGTCATGGCCGGCGTTCTTCTGCATGGGCTCAGTAACAATCTGTTTTCCTTGAAGCAGGATGTAAGTGGAGACCTTGGTTCTGCCCCGAGGCCCTCACTGGAACGTCCTTTTTTCAGACCAAATCAGGCGGCGGGAAGGCACTGGGGTTGACTTTACTGAGAGTGGGGCCCTTGGTACTCGGCCAACAGCGGGCTGACATTCGGGGGGCCCGGAGAAGGGCGGATTTACCCTCGTTTATTTGTGTGGCAGGTGACGTCTGTCTGAAGCGAGTCTTTGGCTTTGAAAGTTCTAGCAAGGCAGATTTAAAAAGAGCCTACGTGGCCAACTACCCTTCCGGCTGCATTTACGTAAATAACCACGCCACATTTAATGAGCAGGGTTACTTCCCAGTAATTCACCTTACTTGATCATCATTGGTAAACAGTGAGGGTGAGTGTAGGGAAGGAATCCTGTATTCTTGCTTGGACCCTTCGTCCTACAGAACCGGCTCCTCCTGCTTCATGCACGCTCTCAATAATTCCTATCTGCATTTTCTCTCCCACCCTTTTGACTTAGAATCACTAAAAATTAAAGCCACGCTGTTGCTGCAGGCCTGGAGCTAAGCTGGATGACTTGGTAGATCCACAGATGGCGCCGGGGCAGAGACGCCACAGCGTCAGCTTGCCAGGCCTTTGGGGCCCGCGGCCTGCTTGCCCCTGCCTGCCGCCCACCCCAGCCTCTGCACTGAGGCTGTCTCAGGTCCAACACCCAGACATCTCAGGAGACTGTTTATACTTTGCTCCACAAACTTTCGCACAAAGCACTGCGGGCTCTGAGGAAGAGCAGCCCGGGGATTACAAGGCAGCTGTCGGGGGGCAGGGGAGCCCCAAATCCAGCTCGATGGAGGGCGCACGACGGGGCAGGCCAGGTGAGAGAAAGGGCACGCGGAGCTCCTCCAGCGTCAGCATGTCACGCCTGTGCACACGTGGCAGCGCGAGGTGGCTGCCGGGCCAGCATCACAGCCGAGTCCCTCTGCGAACGCCAGGCCCCGCTGTGGCTGCAGCTCGTTCCGTCTGCTGCTACTGTGGCCCCCAGAAGCCGGCTCGGCAGATTTTCAGCAAACACAACCATGAGGCAGCAGGCCTCGGAGCCACGGGCAAGTGGATGCGGCTGAGGGCTGTGCGTGGTCAGCAGCGAGGGAAGCTGCTGAGGAGCGAGGCCGGCGGCCAGCTTGACCGTCCAGGGCTTCCCTGGCTCCCTGCTGGGTCATCGCAGGGTGGAGTGAACACGGGCCCGGGCTCAGGAGCTTGCTGTCCTGCGGGCCTGACCGCTTCTTACAGGCCCTGCGGTGGCAGAGACCCCTCACCGCGAGTCCGGGCAGCCCACACATTCAACCCACGGCCAAGACGATGACCACCCAGCCCTCGGCCACATCCGGGACCTGCAAGGCTGCAGGGTCCCCTCACCCCAAGAATCAAGGGGCAGCGGGTGCTGAGGGCCCAGCAAAGACCTCGACCCTCCAGAACTCGACCCGGCCCCGCGCTGTGTTCCTGGGAGCGAGGAAAGTGGCCTGCGGATACTGCGCGGGTGGACACAAGTGTGCGCGGCGTGGCCGCGGGCGAGCCACTATCCCCTGGGGCCGCCGGCAGAGGACGCCCCGCAGGGCCTGACGTCGGCAGCCTCGCTGCCCGTCCCGGCTGTCCGCCGGGCCCGTCCCGCCCCGGCGCCCGTGGCTGCACGCGCTCCCTGCGTCTGGAGGCCGGAACGGGAAGCGGAGGCTCGAGATCGGACGCGGCTGCTCCTGCGTCCCAGGCCGGCCTCCGTCTGCTGGGCGCGCCCCTCACGTCCCGCGACCTCCTTCCTCGCAGGCCTTTTGCAAAGTCCGAGCGTCGTGCGCCCGCCGCACGCGGGCAGCGCAGCGCAGCGCGGGCTGCGACCGGCACTTCCGGCTTCCCGTGCACTTCCGGCTTTCCGGGCGCTTCCGGCAGCCTGCGTGTGCCCGCGCGGAACGCGGACCCCGGCTCCGGCGGCTCCAGTTTCCGCCGGGCGTCGCCAGTGCCGGACCGACTTCCGGCGGCTCCTGGGCTCAGGTGGCCGCGCCGGGGCGTCCCGCGGAAGATGGGGAAAGTGAGGGGGCTGCGGGCGCGGGTGCACCAGGCCGCTGTGCGGCTCGCGGGGGAGGCCGCGGCCGGCCCCGCGCCCCCAGCCCCGGACGCGGCCCTTCCGCAGGCGTCGGCCGGCGGAGCGGCGGGCAAGGTGAGGGCGCGTCCTGGGCCGCCGGGCTGCGTGGCGGCGCGGACCCCCCGGGGGCCCCCGCGCGGGGCCGGAGAGGAGCCGCACGCTTTGGCCCCGGCTCGGGGAGCGCCCCCCGACCTTTGTGAAGGCAGCCACGATGGAGCCTAGTGTTTCCACGGCTCTAAGAACGGCGGGGTCGCCGCCCCCCGCGTGGGCCGACCGCAGTGCGTGGGCCCCGGCGCGGATTCCTGGGCCGCCCCGCACGCGTTCCCTCGCGCCTGTCACCCAGGGGCCTGCGCGCCCGCCCCCCGGGAAGACCCCGGCTGGGCCTGGAGTGAGCCAGATGGGCGTGTCGGAGCTGCTGGTTGCGGGGCGCGGGGGCCCCGAAGCGGGCCGAGGAGGAGGCTGGTGGGATGAGCCTGGCGCGGCGGCGAGATGGGAGGCTGGAGCGCTGAGGGGTTGGGCTGCTGCTGGAGCCACGGCCGGATCCCCGGGAGGGGGCCTGGGCCTGGGCCACGCGGGGGGCTGAGGCGCTGTGCCCCCCCCACCCCCCTCTACGGCCACTCGCTACCGGCCTGGCGCTGCCCTCCGAAGCCACGGGGCCGGCCTCACCTCTGCGTGTTTCCCTTTGCTCAGGACTGGGCTTTTGTCCACACCGACATCTTTGCCAAGACCAAGATCGACCCCAGCGCCCTAGTGCAGAGGCTGGAGCTGGACCAGAGGAGCGTCACGTCCATCAGGAGAGGTGGGTGGGGGTGGGGGTGGGGGTGGGGGTGGGGGTGGGGGTGGGCCCGGGGTGAGGAGCGCCACGTCCATCAGGAGGAGGGAGGGGTGAGGGGTGAGGAGCGCCACGTCCATCAGGAGAGGTGGGGGTGAGGGGTGAGGGGTGGGGGTGAGGAGCCTAATGTCCATCTGGGAGGGCCCGGGGTGAGGAGCTTCAGGTCCATGAGGAGGGTTGGGGAGTGGGGGGTGGGCCCGGGTGAGAATCACGTCCATCAGGAGAGGTGGGGTTGGGGGTGAGGGGTGAAGAGAGGTGAGGGGGCCTGGGGTGAGGAGAGTTGAGGTGGGGTTCGGGGTAAGGGGAGGTGAGGGGGGCCTGGGGTTCGCCTGTGCGGGTTGTGCTGAGTGAATTTTAATGATTTTTATTTCTACGGATCGTTTTTTTTAAAGATATACTCAAGTTGAAAACAGGCTGGTGTGGCTGTCACTCCCTGCCACGCTAAGGCAGAGTTAGACACAGCTCCCGGCACATGGCATTCGTCTGAATGTTGGTGTGAGTCCTGAGTGCGGGTGAGAGACACCCTGTGGTAGCCTGCGCAGCTGTGCAAGCGAGCACACGTGCTCACACGCGTGACGGCCCTGGAAGCTGCTCTGCAGGAAGCCAGTGCACGCAGACCACGCTCCCAGGCAGCCTTGCGGCCCTGCCTGCCCTTTGGTTTTTCCTATTGCCTCCTGTTTAGGAGTTTGCTGAGTGTATCCTCCTGGTATCCATTTGTCTGACTCAACCAACATTTTTTTTTCTTATTTTTGAGAGACAAACAGAGCTCCTATCCGCTGCCTACCCCAGATGCCTGCAGTAGCCCCAGGGAGGGGTCTGAAGCTGGGCACTTGGTCCAGGTCTTCCACGGGGGCAGCAGGGCCTGGCTACAGGAGCCATCATTGCCGCCCCCACCCGAGGTGCACGTTAGCAGGAAGCTGGAGTCAGGAGCCGAGCTGGGCCTTGATCCCAGCACTCCGCCGTGGCACCTTAGCAGTCAGCCAGGCCCTCACCCCGACTGACTGGGCCGAGTGGGAGCGGGCCTGTGGGGTGCACGCCCACCACCTCGTGGCGGGAACCCCTTGGCTGCTGCATTTGCAGCGTTGTGAGATAAAAGTGGATGTAATTGGGAACCCCGCCCCCGCCGGGCCCTCTGCCCCATCTCTCTATTGCTGGTGTTCACGCGTTGCTGTGCACACCTCGTACTCTCAGCCGTCCCGTCCATGTCAGCTGTCGGTCTGCAGGAGCTGTCACCTTGTCCGGCTGCCTTGACTTTCCTCCTGTCTGGGCTGCTGATGCTGCACCAGTCGATGCACACGTTTTCTGAGCTGTTTCCTTGTGTGGTGATAAAGGAGGGTCTAGATTTTTTTTTAAGATTTATTTATTTGAAAGTCAGAGTTATACAGAATAGAGGCAGAGAGAGAGAGGCCTTCCATCCGCTGGTTCACTCCCCAGATGGCCGCAACGGCTGGAGCTGCACCGATCCGAAGCCAGGAGCCAGGAGCTTCTTCCATGTCTCCCACGTGGGTGCAGGGGCCCAAGGACTTGAGCCATCTTCTGCTGCCTTCCCAGGCCACAGCAGAGAGCTGGATTGGAAGTGGAGCAGCCGGGTCTCAAACCTGCGCCCATATGGGATGCCGGCACTTCAGGCCAGGGCGTTAACCCACTGTGCCACAGCGCTGGCCCTGGAAGTTCTAGATTTTCCTCACACTTCTTCTGGGTTTCCTGGTACAGTCTGTAAATGGCTCTGAGCTGTGCGAATTCACAGCTAGGATTTTATGTCCGGTGTTTTCCATGGGTCGTGTTGCCTGCCGCTGCTTTGGTTTCCTGTGAGCTCACTGAGAGAGGCATCTGGATTGAGGGGTGGCTCCCACCTGTGACTCACGTGACTCCCTGGAGGCTCTGTCTCTGGGCTGGGTCCTGGAGAACTTCCTGGTTTTGTTGCAGGGATGTGCAGGGCAGGCCTGGGTTCCTTTGGTGACCGATAGGATTGAGCTGTTTGCTGTGTGTTTACTGATTGTCTCAAGGTTTGTGCCTATTTGGGGCAGTTTGGGTCACTTTTTGTAAACCTAGAAGAGTGCTTTATCTGCTGTAGAGAAGACTGGTCATTTTGTACGGATCATTTGTAAGGTTTCAGAGCTGAGGCCGCCTGTGGGTCACCCAGAGAGCTCAGCCCTCCCTGCAAGAGGCCTGGGCTGTGTGTGGATGACGGGCAGGCCTCATGCAGGGTTCACACGCAGGGAGCCAGGCCTGCTCCTCTCTGCCCCGTGGCGTGAAGAGCCAGTGTGGTGTTCAGAACTTGAGGGAGCCCACTTCCACGGTGTTGCTGTGGATTCGTTCTGAGAGGAGGAGCGTGGTGGGGGCAAGAGATGTGGAGTCACCACACAGACCCCGGGAATCGGGTGAAAGCAGGCCTGAGGCAAGCAGCCTGCAGACTCGTTTATTTCAGTTGCTACAGCTGCTTATATAGCCAAGGCAGCCAATCCGGTCAAGGGGCGGTCTATGCCCTAACCAATCACAGCCTGTTGCCAGGCAGGCTCCAGTTGCCAGGTGGTTTCCCAGGGGGTTTCCGAAGCCATTGCTGAGTAACTGATGCTCGCTTGCCAGTGGCCATCTTGGCATGGGCTTGTCTCTCCACCACATCATGAAGTGATATTGCGGATGCCCCATGGGTGTGGTGTGGGGCTCTCCTGGGTGTGAGGCCCCACGTGCTCTTTGCTGGTTACCAGGGTGTAGAGACCTCCCGGGTCTCCCACGCGCAGCGTCTGGGTCTCCGTTGTGTGCCTCCCTCGCCTCCAGCACCTCTTCCTTGTGTTCTCGGTTGCTTCAGCTGCTGACTGGCAATGCCGTGGATCCCAGCAGGGAAAGTGGGCCTGGGGCGCCCCTGGTTGTTGGGGTGCTGCATCCTGTGGCCTGGCTGTTTCCGCTCCATGACCTGCCTGGCCGTGGAGGCGCCCATCTGCCTGGTTAGTGCAACATCACCTGTCCTTGCCCTGGGCTGGGTCAGAAAGGGAATCGCGCTCCTCCTCTCTGGCCCAGGAGCTGGGCAGCTGCAGCTGGTGTGGCCCAGGGTAGGCGGAGCCCTGCCTGCCCGTGGCCTGTCATCCAGGACACACGCCAGCCGTTGGTCCCCTGCCATGTGCACCTGTGTCCCCAGGTGCTTTCCTGAAGGTGTCTTTCCTGTGTGTACAGAGCCGTGGGCGCTCAGCCAGCCGGAAATCAAGTGCCCCTCCCCGTTTCCCTCTCTTCACCCTCCTGGGCCTGTCCTCCCTGACGGGCAGGCCTCTGTGCATCCTGGGAGGAGCTCCAGGCTCCGCAGTGGTGGTCCATGGGACTCCTTGACATCATGGCTTTGTTCCTGCCTTGGGAGGAGGCGGGTGCAGGTGCAGAGTGGGGGCAGCCCAGCTCCTCACTCCCCACCATTAGCAGGTTCACGGCTGCTCTGTGCTCCGGAGAGCACCCCCATCTTGTGCTCCTCCCCCACATTCAGTGCCACAAGCCAGTGTGTGGCGCACTGTGGCCTGGCAGGTGGCTGCTGGGTGGTGGTGGTGTCCGGTGACCGTCCAGTGACCTCGAACATGATGCTCACGTTAGCATCGTGTTGTCCAGAGGAGGTGGTACGGGGATGGTTTTGGAGTTCCAAGTCTAGTTCTGGATCCCTTCAAACTGGAAAACTGCAGAAAATGCGCCTTCTTTGTTCTCAGACGAGCACCTGGGAGGCGGGCAGGTGGGGTGAGGCCTGGTGGGAGGACAGGCCTGGTGTCCAGTGGGAAGTGCCAGAAGGAAGGCACAGCTGTCAGCTGGTGTTACCCCAGGGCCGCCAGGAGGTGGCAGTGCAGACACATGTGCGGCGGTGTTGGACTGGGGCACGTGGCCTCCAGGCCTGGCGTCGGGACGTTTTGCAGGGGTG